ACTTAAACCACTCTTGAGTTTGATGAAATATTTCACAAATCTCCACCTTAGATCTAACTCTATAACATCAAGAAACTAGCTTTCTTCATGCAGCTTTATCAACTGCATACAGTGGAAAAACTTACAACTGGGCAACGTCTTGGTGATCATATCAACAACATTATGATCTGTCGAAACCTTCAGCACTTTGACTTCTCCACGCTCGATTACCCCTCTGGCGAAATGCAGTCTCACATCAATGTGTTTGGTTCGCTCATGATAGGCTGGATTCTTCGGCAGATGTATTGCACTTTGACTATCACATTTAACAGTGATAACTCAACCTTGAAATTTCAGCTCTTTTGCAAAACCTTCAAGTCACAATGTTTCCTTCACAGCTCCAGTTAGGGTGATATATTCTGCTTCAGTGGTTGATAAGGAAACGACCTTCTGAAGTGTTGCTTTCCAACTGATTACTGTTCCAAACATAGTGAACACATATCCAGAAATAGATTTTCTGGAATCCATACAACCTACATAATCAGAGTCAATATATTCTTCAATTGTTGATTTATTCTCTTCACCCAAGGCTCCACCATAAATTAGGACTCTATTCAAAGGCCCATTTATGTACCTTAGAATCCACTTCAATGCTTTCCAGTGAGCCATGTACCTGCTTACAAGACTTCCTGCATATGCTATGTCGGGTCTAGTACAGAGCATAACATACATCAAAGAACCCATTATATTAGCATATGAAATGCTATTCATATAAGTTCATTCAACATCAGTGCTGGGACATTGATCTATACTCAACTTGAATTGAAGGTTTGTCAGAGTCACAACAAGCTTTGAATTCGACATACCATACTTTTCGAGAATCTTCCGTAGGTATGCCTCTTGAGATAAGCATAATTTGGACTACTTTCTATCTTTTCGGATGTCAATCCCAAGAATCCTGGACGCAACTCTCAGATCCTTCATGTAGAACTTCTTATTAAGTTCAACCTTCACCCTCATTACATCTTCGAGATTGTTGCTTGCTATTAGAATATCATCCACATAAAGAAACAAAATATCAAATGAATTACCAGGTCGAAATCTGAAGTAAACACAATGGTCGAACTGACTTCTAATGAAACTTATGCGTGCCATGAACTTGTCGAATCTCTTATTCCACTGTCGAAGAGAATGTTTCAGTCTATATAAAGATCTATTCAGTTTGCACAAATAATCTTGCTTCCCTTTTTCGACATACCCTTCAGTTTGCCTCATAAGGATTGTTTCATCTAGATCACCATACAAGAACACACTCTTCACATCCATCTGTTCCAATTTAAGGTTGAACTGTACCACTGTGGCAAGCAACATTCGAATGGATCTGTGCTTCACAACAAGAGAGAACACATCATTTAAGTCGACACCTTCTTTCTGAGTGAACCCCTTAGCGACCAATCTTGCCTTGTATCTCTTCAACGCCTCTCTTTCGATTCCTTCCTTAACTTTGAAAATCCATTTACAGCTGACTAACATGGCTCCAGTAGGTTTCTTGATTAGTTCCTAGGTGTTGTCATCATGAAGAGATTTCATCTCATCATCCATGGCCTTCAGCCATTTTATCTTCTTTCGACTCCTCATAACTTCCTTATAGTCTCTAGGTTCTTCGTCTAGAACCTCACTTGCAGAGATTAAGGCATAAGCTATAAGATCTACACACCCAAGTCTCTGAGGTGGCTTTATGACTCTCCTCGACCTGTCTCTTTCTAGCAGATAGTCATTATCAATCTCCTTATCTTCGACAACATCTTCTGCGTCTTTTTCGACTTCATCTCGGATACACAATTCAGCATCAACATGCTCCACCTCAATAGGAATTTCTCCTTGTTCCAGCTCTTCGTCAGTATCATCAGTTTTCTTGAAAGCCATATCTGCTTCATTCAAAACTACATCACGATTGGTGATACACCTTCTGTGACCTGGCTCTAGGCACCATAACCTATAAGTTTTGACTCCTTCAAGGTTTCCCATGAACATGCATTTCAGAGCTCTAGGTTCGACCTTGTCTTGCCTAATATGAGCATAAGCCACGCAGCCAAATACTCTCAGTCTGTCGAGACTAGGTGAATATCTCGACCAAACTTCTTTAGATGTCTTCATTCTCAAGGCAGTCGATGGACATCTATTTATCAGATAGGCTGCTGTCAAAACAACCTTTGCTCAAAACACCTTCTTCAATCCAACACTAACCAACATGCATTTAACCTTTTCAAGGATTTTTCGATCGAATTTCTCAGCTAAGCCATTTTGTTAAGGAGTACCTGCTACATTCTTATGCCTTGCAATCCTAGACTCAACACAGTAAATGTCGAACGCTTCGTTGCAGAACTCAAGGCCATTGTCGGTTCTCAACCTCTTAACCTTTCTGCTAGTTGGAGTTTTGACCAAAACCTTCCAAAATTTGAAATTTTCAAAAGTTTCATCCTTCGTCTTTTGGATGAATACCCGTAGCTTTCTGAAATAGTCATCAACGATGGGTAGAAAATATCTTGCACCCGAGTGTGAAGGATTCCTTGCAGACCCCCAAAGATCAACATGAAAGTAATTCAGGGATCCATATGTTCTTTGCTTGCCTTTGTTAAAGTTTGCCCTACAGGATTTACCAAATACACAAGATTAAAAAAACTCCAAGTTTTCGACTTTGTCACCTCCTAGCAGGTTCTGCTTCCCCAATTCGACCAGGCCTCTTTCACTGACATGGCCCAATCTCATGTGCCATAATTTTTTCTTCGTCACAGGTTTCGTGGATGCAACATTTGTCAAACCACTTACAACCTCAGCCTCAAGGGTATACAAGCCTTGTTTCTTCACGCCTCTCAAGACTTCCTTCGACCCTTTCATGACTCTTAAGATACTTTTCTCTCCTTGAAAAACATATTCCTTCCTGTTGAATTCACTAAGAGAAATCAAATTTCTCTTCAAATCAGGTACATACCTGACTTCAGTCAATAACCTTATTGACTCATCATGGAGCTTGAATCTCACAGATCCAATACTTGCAATTTTGCAAGATTTGTTGTTTCCCAGCAGCACCGATCCACCATCTTGATCACATAACTCCTCGAACAATTCTCTGTTTGGAGTCATGTGCAAAGTGCAACCTGAATCCACAATCCACTCTTTTCTTGAGTCGCCACTTGAAACCACAAGAAAATCAGATGAGTCGAAGTCATCTTGAACAATGGTTGCGTTGCCATTATCCTTACCTCCATGATCTTTCACGCATTTAGGGCACATCTTTTTTGTGTGACCTTCCTTCTTACAATGATAACATCGAATACCAGATGTTTCGCCACTATAAGACTTCTGCTGACTTTTACTTTTCTTCTTGTCGAACTTAACATTCTTTCGCAAGAATTTTCCCGTAACGGCCAAACCTTCACCAACCGTCGAAGATTTATGCTCCTTTCGTTCGTTCAAGTCCTTAGAATACAAGGCTGATTGAACTTTTTCAAAGCTCAGAGACTCCCTTTCATACAAGAGAGTTTCTTTGAAGTGAGCATGTGTTCTGGGCAAAGCACACAACAACAACACTATTTGATCTTCACCATCGATCTTCACATTAATATTTTCAAGATCAAGAATCATCTTGTTGAACATATCCAACTCCTTAGCTAACACTTTGTTTTCACTCATCTTGAATAAATATAAAACTTGCTTAAGGTAGAGTCGATTCACCAGGGATTTGGTCATGCAAAAACTTTCAAGTTTCACCCATAACCCCGATGTTGTAGTCTCCTTTGATACTTGTCGAAGAACCTTATCTCCAAGGCTCAATAATATTGCGCTGTGAGCTTTCTCAATCATGACCGTCTTTTCTTTTGACGTTAACCCAACGTCCATGGCTGCCTCCCCCCTTCAACGCTTCCAAACAACTCTGCTGAACCAGTAGGGCTTTCATTTTCAAGTGCCACAGACCGAAGCCGTTCACTCCGGTGAACTTTTCAATCTCATACTTTGTTGAATGCATCTTCTCCACGGTCACCACACCAATTTGTTGTGAATCAGATGTCTTGAAACAAAATATAAACGATTTCTTTATGATCAAGAAACACACAAGGGTTAGGGTTAACAAAGAAAATAAGGTAAAACAACAAGGAACGACAAAAATTGGTTATAAACTATTATTGTTTCCTTTCTCTTAGAAACAAGATTACAAATATACAAGAATAACATTGAAATTATGATTTTATCTTCCTATTTTTCCTTATACAAGATGAGAGACTAACATGCTATTTACAAGAGAAATAACACACTAACCTAATGAGCTTTTTAACAATTACCTATTACAAGCTAATTTAGAGTACAACCTAACTAAATAACAATTAGACTTACAAGTAAGACCCAATTCAACATGCTAACAAACCTAACAATACTGAATAATGAATGTTAGAACAAACTTCGACTACAACATGTATTACTCGCGAACAAATTTCGACAATTATTGAGTTCGATTCAATATTTCACACAAAGATACACACACGCATAATATATATATATATATATATATATATATATATATATATATATATATATATATATATATATATATATATATATATATATATATATATATATATATATATATATATATATATATATATATATATATATATATATATATATATATATATATATATATATATATATATATATATATATATATATATATGAAAATAAAAGGAGTATAAAATAAGTAATAAATAATTGTTCAATTTTTGTTATTAGTATTTATTTATTATTTGAGACTAGAGGATGAGTATAAAATACAATAAATAAATAATAAGGAGAAGGAAGTGTGATGATTGGTTGGCGCAGTTGATCCCGTGATTAAACAGTTAATATTAACGTCCAATTCAACTAACCTTCCAACTTCCAACTTCACCTATATAAACACAACACAATCTTCTATTTTCCCTATGTCATAAACCATCGTATCATACCTCATACACTGCCAAAAAGTGATGGCTTCAACTTCAGCCAACACATTATGTTTACACTTTCTGTTAATGTTACTGCTTTGTTCATTCAATCTTCAACCAAGTTTTGGTTTCAGTTCACAAGAGTACCATGAGGCTCTTGAAAAATCTATTCTGTTCTTTGAAGGACAACGCTCTGGAAGATTACCATCTAACCAGAGACTAACATGGAGGGGAGATTCTGGATTATCAGATGGCTCTTCTTACCATGTCCGTTACATTGCTCGAATTTAACTCATTATTTAACTTGTAGTAATTAGTTAGAAACATGCATGTTAATTGTATTTAATACTGTTTCAGGTGGACTTAGTTGGTGGTTATTATGATGCTGGTGACAATGTGAAGTTTGGGCTTCCAATGGCATTTACTACAACATTATTAGCATGGAGTGTCATTGAATTTGGAAGCTCAATGCATGATCAGATTGACAATGCTAGAGAAGCTATCCGGTGGAGTGCGGATTATCTTCTTAAGGCCGCCACCACAACTCCAGACACATTATATGTCCAGGTAAGTTAGTGGCGACTCTGGACTCCGAGCATATTTAATTAAAAGTCTCACATTGGATAATATGTTTAATGCAGGTTGGAGAACCTAACTTAGATCATAGGTGTTGGGAAAGGCCGGAGGATATGGACACTCCGCGGAATGTGTATAAGGTATCCCCTCAAAACCCGGGTTCTGATGTCGCGGCCGAGACAGCAGCTGCATTGGCAGCTTCATCATTAGTATTCAAAGACTCAGATCCAGCCTATTCCTCCAAATTACTTCAAGCAGCTATCAATGTCAGTTCAGTTCCACTTCTCTAACACAATAAATTTACGTTTTGTTTTATCAATTTCCATGCTCTTAACAACATATTAATGTTATTTCTTCAGGTATTCAATTTCGCAGACCGTTACAGAGGCTCTTACAGTGACTCTCTAAATTCTATTGTCTGTCCATTTTACTGCTCCTACTCTGGATATCATGTAAAATCCTAACCACCTTTGAATTTTTTTATGAAACCAAACAAAATCATATATTAAATTAATCTCAATTGTTTAAATAAATAGGATGAGTTACTTTGGGGTGCATCATGGATTTACAAAGCTTCTGGAATAAATTCCTACATGGAGTTCATACAATCCAACGGTCACATATTAGGTGCTGATGATGATGGTTACACTTTCAGTTGGGATGACAAACGACCTGGAACTAAAATCTTACTTTCAAAGGTGGTTTTTTCTTAACCTCTGTTTACTTTGACTTCAAACATAAAAATAACATTAATAGTAACTTTTTTATGGGTATTTTTATAGGATTTCTTGGAGAAAGATTCTGAAGAGTTTCAGTTATACAAGGCACATGCAGACAATTACATTTGTGCTCTAGTACCAGGAACTCCTGGTTTTCAGGCTAAATACACCCCAGGTCATCAATCTTAATCCTTCATTTAAGGCAATATATAAGCTCCGTAGTCCGACACTTCTTAAAAAAGACGTGTCAGTCTCGTGTACTTCTGATTACGTTCAATTTATTCATTTTTCAAATTAATTTTGTAGGGGGTGTTCTGTACAAAGATAGTTCAAGCGATTTACAGTATGTGACATCTACGTCTTTCCTTCTCTTAACATACGCAAAGTATCTCAACTCAAATGGAGGTGCTGTCTCGTGTGGAACATCAAAAATCAAAGGACAAAACCTAATCAACTTGGCAAAGAAACAAGTAGATTACATTTTGGGGAATAATCCAAAAGAGATGTCTTATATGGTTGGTTTTGGAGAGAGGTATCCAAATCATATTCATCATAGAGGTTCCTCTTTACCTTCCATTGAACAGCAGCCTCAGAAGATTTCTTGTAACAATGGATTTCAATACCTGAATTCAGGGTCACCAAATCCAAATGTTCTTGTTGGAGCCGTTGTTGGTGGTCCAGATAGCAGTGACAATTTCTGTGATGATAGAAATAATTATCAACAGTCAGAGCCAGCAACTTATATTAATGCACCTTTTGTTGGCGCTCTTGCTTTTTTCTCTGCTCAATAATCAAGTTAGTTGCCAATAGGTGGCAAGCAACCTTCAAATTAATCTCTTATTGGTATTACATATGTCTCATATTCTACATGTCATTAGGTAAATTAATATGAAAGTTTATGTAGTATTAGTTGAATTTGAAAGTTAACTATAGTTTGCCTAAAATTTTCAATTGTGATTTTCTTTCCTTTAATAATTCCTCCAAAGAATGATAAGCACATATTTTTCTGGGTTTTGAGCTAATAAACTAAGAAATGTTTGTAATAAGTAAACAAAACGATAAAAAGATTAAAAAAGTACGTACGTAAAACTTGTATGATTGATTCTGTGTCTTTGATTTTTCCACAAGTTTAATGTTTATAGACAAATACTAGTTTCGTATACCAAAACGAAGTGCATTATTGAATTAAGCGTTGCTTGGTCAATTGCGAGAGTAATACATGTTTTTCTGTCTATTATCACACTGACAAAAGAAAAAAAATAGTTATTATAATCCTATCTCAATCTACGGATAGACAAAACTAAAAAATTCTTGCTGATTCAATTATTTCAATGATAATCTTGGCCATTTCACTCAATTAAGACTCTCTTTGCTAAATTAACTTATAACTGATAGCTTATAGTTTAATTTGAGTGTTTAGTAAATTAATTGTTATACTATCTGATAATTACAAAATAACTTAAACGGATATTTTTAATTAAAAAATTTATAATTTTATTATCTTATTATATTATTAAATTAAATTAAATTTTATTTGATACAAGTAAATGTATTAATAACAATATACAAAACAATTTTAATATATATAAAAAATTGAAGATTTCATCAAAATATATAAATTTGTATATAAATTTTTATGAGTTTTGCTATTTATTATGAATATATTGACAACAAAATTCAATGAATAAAAGAACCGGTAAACCATGCATGAAATAGGGGTATTTTATAAAGTCATTTACGAAGATATAAAAGTAAAAGTAATCCTAATAACTACGATTCTTGATCTGTTTAACTCATTCTTTCGTAAAATATAGTTTTTTTTTCCTAATTTTATAGTGAAATTTAATAAAATACGTAAAATAATAACATTGTAATTTTGAATTTAGTTATATTAATCTAAAATAATAATAAAAACAAATTTATTGTCTAATATTTTACAATAAAACTGTAATAATATTCTGAATTTTTTTTCACCTTTGTTGATTTCATTGATTCTGAATTTATTGTCTATTCAGCTCTTTCAACCTTAAGCTCACTTCCATTTTTTGAACTTTTTACATAAAGAATTTTATTTCAACTAGATTCCTAATGGAGAGGATTGTGGAAGAAACTGAGACATTATCCATGAAACAATGGTTTTTATCTCCTCCCGCTAGACCGAATGACCCCTTTCATATTTTAGTTTGGTTAATTGGTTAATATATGATTTTAATCAATTAACTTATTTAAAAGATTCATGGATTGTGTCCTTTTTAAGTTAGATTTTTTTTCTTCCATATTCTCATTATTTCAAAATACACAAGTTTTTTTTAATAAAAACTTTCTTCTATCATTTTTTATTATTCTTTTATAATATTTTTTCATTAAAGATTCCTTAGTGATAAAAGATTGAGCATTTTTGTTTGAGATTTGTGTCCTGCTGATGTTTTATTGAAAGTGTTTATTCAATACGTGGCTTGATCTCTTTGTAATAATATTTGAAACTTTTAAGCTAAACTTGTAAAAAGTTTGAGTGTAATTTTTGAGCCATGTTTGTATAATAGCTCTGGTGAAGTTTATTAAGATGAACTTATGTAAAAGCTCTAGTCTAGGTTTTAAGATAAGTCCTGATAAAAGCTCTATATGTTTGTAGAAGGATTCTAGGATGATCTTGTGTTAAAAGTTCAACTTGTTTTGAAAGGTTGTTTGGTTTGATTTTGTGAAAAGTCAAAGTTTAACTTTAGTGGAAATCTTAAAGGGGAACTGATGGGGACTACCGTATGCCAAATGGTTAGGTTTAAACCAAGATAATCCTCTGGTGTGATCTTTTTATTCCAATATGTTTCCTCAGACGTTCCTTCTTCTTCCCTAGGTTATCCAGAGCTAAGATATCCCCCCGGCCAGAAGCACCAAATGATATCACAATCGCAACATGTTATAGTTATGGGACAATTCCTTGATCATATCCTGTCAGGTAGTCTCAGTTAGTTGTTGAAAGCATGAGTAGTATCCTTCATGAAAACACATTTACACATCTTTGACAGTACAACACCCCTTTGGTAAGGAGAAACTAATGCATTGAGAAGGTGAAAAGCACACTTGAATTTCCCCCTTATGACCTCCTAGTCAACCTTAGGCAATGTATGTGTGTATCTCTTCAATAATGATTCATAGGTTAAATCCTTACCCATGTCTCTCTTTAGGTGGTCAACATCATCAAACCTTTTTGACCAATATACATAAGTATTTCCGTTCATATCATTTGACTTCTTGTTCTGAGTCTCAAAAGGCAGTTGGTATTGACCCATCACGCCCTCTTGTTTGGGTTGCACTCACTACTACAAATACAAAATATTAAAGTAAAAATGTTATTCTTCATCGTCATCCCTGTTGGTGAAGAACATATACTGGATATGTTGGAGAAGATCAAATGTCGGGGATCCTTGTTTCATAGATAAAATGTAATATATTCTCTATGACTTGCATTCATTTGTTTCTTGATATAAAGAAAAGGTTAGATAAATAAAATAAATATTCAGTTATATGATTATTTAAGAACATAAACCTTGAACTCATGATAATTTTCTGAACTTGCAATCCATCACATAAATCTTGGCCAAAGTAAATACACTATCACCAACCACATATTAAATAAACCTAATTTTTTTTCTACTCTTACAATATATCACAGTGATACTTTTACTTTGTAAAATCTCATGGCGCTCTAATTAAACATAGAGAGTTTTAAAACAATGTTTGGGTTTCTTGTTGATTCACTACTATCAAATTTAATTATTCATAATGCTTTTATAACAAGGGTTTTAGGTTTAACGAGGATCACTAATGATAGTTTCTTGAGTGTTAATAGTCATTAAATGGACAGTGAAGATTTGTTTAAGAACGATGAAAAAACTGAAAAAATACGCTTATATTTTACCTCCGCTATCACTCAAAACCGAGGTAAATTTTTTTTCTTTTTAAATAAATAAATAAAATATGTTTCATCCTAAGCCACATACCTCTCAGTTTCTATTAAAAACCGAAGGAAAAAACTATTTTTTATATATACTTACATTATTTACACAAAATATTAAATAAATTATTCAAATAAATCAAGAGTTTGACAATGAATTCTTGAAAAACAAACCAGATGAGTTATCTGGTCCAAACAAGAGAAATTTTTTTATATTTACATTATTTTCAGATTTTTGAGAAGTTATCTGTTCCAACAAAGAGAAATTTGTTTTCAGTGATATCCAAATTATGTTGCATACACTTTAAAACATTTTTTTTTTGAAATAAAAATGATTTTTTTTGCAATTTATCAATTGAGTAATCTTCAAATGTTGAGTTATATTCTTTAACTGAGAGTTATTCCAAAAATACAATAACAACAACATCAACACCATTATGTGAGATAGATTGCAAGGCAAAATAATGTTTTGTTCAAGATAGAAGAACATTGAAGATTTTTTCTGTCTTGCAATCCACCCCAAAGAATGATGCTTGGGAGTTTGGTGCGGCTTCATATTAGTAAGGATTAGGTAAAATTTGTTTAACAAGTGCTTTTACAGTACAATATTATTATTTCATACCTTGATTAAATAGAAAATCGAAGAGTTATAACATTTTGTTTTAAAAAAAAATACAATTATAATTTGCGATAGTTGGGAATTAAAGCTTGTACCGAGTTATTTTTCACCTCGGTGATATGAAAAACCGAGGGAATGCGTGGTTTTTTTTTGTTTTTTTAAATAATAAAAAATAACGCGTCTTGACTTTATATCTTAATTTTTTATTGTTCGAGATGAAATTTTCGTCATGAAAAATGTTATTTGTTGTAGTGAATTGTTTAGGATGAGGGGTGTTATTTTCACTCGGGTCTGTTTCTTTTACTAGTCTTGCAGTATCCGAGGTCAGAACCAGAAATAGGTATTATTTGCTAATATCTTATTCTTTTGATTATTTAATGAATGAAACCCATGTTATTTGCAAAATAAAGTAAGAATGAGTAATGGAATAAGTACTAAAGCAACAATGAAGACACATAAAAAAAAATCAAACCCTTTCTTTATGAAAGTAGAGGTGAAAAATAGACGAATGAAATGGATTTGGATTAACTTGTTAATGGATGAATACAAGTAATTCATCGATCCATTAATAATTCAAGAAAATTTATTTTTAAAAGATTAACTTTGTCCATCCATTATGGATAAAATCCATATAGTCCATCTATTAAAATCTTTCCAACAAATGGATATTTAATTACTTAAACTTTACAAAAACTTTTCTTTTTTATAAAAATTTCTCTAATATTATTTTTTAAATGCAATCTCTCTCTCTCTCTCTCTCTCTCTCTCTCTCTCTCTCTCTCTTTCTCTCTCTCTCTCTCTCTCTGAGATTGGTTTCACGTTTTCACAAGATGTAACTTTTGTAGTTTTTTCATAGAGGATGTGAGACATTATTATTGCGACATTGTGCAATGTGTTTTCCTTGTTTGTTTATTTAGTTGTGAAAAATTGAAATGATACAAATTTGTGGCGATCTAACCATTTAAATCAAATATAATATTTTGATGTGTAAAATACGATAAAATCAGTTTATACTATTATTGATAAGATATTTAATACTATTTTTTAATCTAATTTAATTTTTGACAAGTTAAGCTAGTTTTATTTCAATTAGACTCGAGTCCACCTACTACCATTCATTATACTTTTCCATTTCCTCTTCTATGAATTGAAGGCTAGTCTAGTAAAAACACGACAACATCAAAGGGTGACTCAACAATGTTAAACTCTGCTTTACCAAA